AAACTTGAGATACAGTTGTGATACAATTTTCTAAAGCATTTTTGGGATGAACAGGAGTGTAAAAACTACCGAGACTACATTTGTTATATCTGTAAACCACGTGATATAGCTGAGTTGCACAGGTCATTAAATTGTTGAGTTGAAAACCATCCGATCTGTATGATGATGTCATGTGTTGGTTTTGAAGTATACAAATTTTCGGAGCCCCCCCTCCTAGCGCAACAATTTTTTCAGAGCCCCCCCTTCGGGTGTCTAAAAATTTTCGGAGCCCCCCCTCAATATCTTCATCCCCCCCCTTGTCATATTAAATGAACTTTCCCTTAAGGTAGCAGAATTTCGGTGTACGCGAGTTGGCTTATCAATTGTAGGAGTTAAGTTGTTTGTGTTGCCCTGAAAGTACACAAGTTGGGTCTCTAGAATTTCTTTCCCTACTGACTCTCTCTCTCTCTCTCTCTCTCTTTAGATTCATCTGTCCGTATCTGCTACGTTTTCTCCTTTTGAAAAATTTAAAACGTTTTATACGTCAAACCTCACTTCTTTGGAGCAAGCCAATAAGCTAAGCTTTTACATACCCAAAATACGTTCTCCCTTTTCTAATTTATTTTACTTTTCCAGAATATTTTCTAGTTCAAACCAACTTAACGTAGCAAATACGCATTTCTTGGTACATCAACCAAAAATTTTGTAAAATTTGCCAAACAAAACGGATTTGTAAGGTCCTTAGGGTAATTAAAATTACTATTAAACCCCTCCGTGTTTGGAAATATTTTCAATTTTGCTTTAACTTAAATTAAGCACCAAACGTTGTTCTCAGGTACATGTTCGACACCAGTTTCAGACTCAAGATTTTTTTTAGTCAACCCAAAACGTATTTGCTGTAAAAATAATAACCCTTTGTGATACCTTCTCCAATTTTTATGTGGAAAGTAAGCGCTTCACAAAAGAAACTCTTCCGAAACAATTTTTGAGGGGTCAAAGCACTTTGAATGCATTTTTTATCCAAAAACCTATTCCGTAGCAAATACTCGTTTTTGCAGCAAATACGCACTTTGGTTTTCGCTCAGAAAAGAAACATGTAATTTATTTCGAAGTTAAGCCGTGATAAAAGAAGATCAACAATGCATAATGATGCCTACCAACCAGGGAACAGCCAGCCAAAGGTAGCCATTAATATTACCCGCTGTAGAAGCTTATTTTACACAAAACTGTGTAAAATGCGGATCATAAGGTAGCAAATACTCGTTTTTGCAGCAAATACGCACTTTGGTTTTCGCTCAGAAAAGAAACATGTAATTTATTTCGAAGTTAAGTCGTGATAAAAGAAGAGAAACAATGCATAATGATGCCTACCAACCAAGGCACAGCCAGCCAAAGGTAGCCATGAATATTAACCACTGTAGAAGCTTAATTTACACAAAAATGTGTAAAATGCGGATCATCAGGTAGCAAATACGCATTTGAGTTTTCGATATCTTATTTATTTAAAAGTTATGTCTTGGAGAAAGAAGAAAACCAATGAAAGATGATGTTCACTTTACAAATAACAACTATCCAAGGGAAGACATGGATATAACCTGGTATATATCCTTATTTATCACCAATTTGGAAATATCACGAGATGCAGTTTGCGGAAATTGCGCACTTTTGGCCGGCGTTATAAAACACCGGCTAAAAGGTTTGAAGATTGCATATTATAAAGGCTTATAAGTTTTCTGCCATGCAGATAGGAAATGACAATTTCGCTTTGAATGCCTTGATAAATCATGTATAATTTTGTCTATTAAATTCCTGCCTCGTTAGTACAGAGCAGTCTCGCGCGCGCTTACGCGCTTCACCCATACTTTAGCTAATGATGCCACACATGATGCTAATGAACCTTCCTTTCATAAATTCTTACGATTTTCGACTAAAGGACTTGTAAGGCTCAGTTCTGCCGAAATATTAGGCACACTGACAAAAATGATGCGCGCGTATCTTAAAAGTTTAGTGCATGAAAAAGGTGCACCTGCAAAACAGGTTGTAGCTGGGGGACGCTTGTCAGAGGAAAAATGTTATAGCTTTTACGACAGACTGCAAGGATGATGTATTATCTTAAAGGAAACAGCCACATGTCGCAAGAAAGGCGATTAACTTTCGCAGGACGGCGCGCCGGCGCATATGTCAAAAGCGGCTCAAACATGTTGCTAGGAGAATGTTCCAATACAGAGCTACGCAGGGCTATATAGGGCTCTGTAGAAATCTGTAGGGTATTATACGGCTATGTAAGACCTATGTAGGACTTGAAAAGCGCTGCATAGCCGTGCTTCGCCGTACATAGCCATGCATGGCCGTACATAGCCATACATAAACGAAGATAGCCGTCCATAGCCCTACAGAGCCGTGCATAGCCATGTATAGTCGTACATAGCCCTACGTAGTCCTACATAACCCTACATAGCCCTACATAGCCGTGCATACCCATACATAGCCGTACGTAGCCTTCCATAACCTTACATAGCCCTACATAGCCGTACATTGCCATAAATAGCCGTACGTAACCCTACATAGCCATGCATTGCCGTAAATACCCGTGCATAGCCGTAAATGGCCCTATTTAGCCATGTATAGCCGTACATAGCAGTACATAGCCCTGCAATGCCGTGCATAGCCGTCCTTAGCGGCACGTAGCCGTGCATAGCCGTATATAGCCGTAAATAGCCGTTTATATGCACGGCTATGATGGGTTATGTACGGCTATGTAGAATTATGCACGGCCATGCACGGCTATGTACGGCCATGCACCGCTATGTAGGGCTATCCACATAGCCATGTACGGGTATGCAAGGCCATGCACGGCTATGTATAGCTATGTACGGCGATGAAGGGCTATGAACGGCTATGCACGTCTATGTCATGACGTCTATGTACGGTTATGCACGGCTATGTACGGCTACGCACGGCCATGCACGACTATGAAAGGCCCGTATGCAGAGCTATGCACGGCTATGTAGGGGTATGCACGGCTATGTAGGGTTATGTACGGCTATGTGCGGCTATGTAGGTTGCCCTTTTTCATTGCTACTTGCGCGTCCAATTCTTTGATCATCTCTCTACCGCGTTTTTTAAGTAATTATAGCGCGACCTGCTCGCCTCTCCTTTGCATTTCGTCTGCGCAGATGTCGATAAGCTGCACCTAAGTAGCAGGCCTCCTTCGGGTGTAGGTAAGCCGTTAAAAACTTCAAAAGGAGGGAAGAACCTGGTACTCATTCATAAAATCGAGGCGCATTCGCCCACTTTTCTCTTTTTCTTCTCAGTCATTTTCAGAGAAAACATGTTTAGTTTGGAGGCTATAACAATGAGTTCTTTTCGGGCAAGGCAAACCTCTGTATGGTGCCTTTGTAGCCTATGGCTGCGCGCTGAAATTTCACTACTTCATATAACAAATTTTATTATGAATGAACAGAAGTTCACTGGGCCATTGATTTGCATATAACATAATAGTAATAACTAACTCCTAGGTACTACCAATCTAAAATCTGAAGTAGTTTATAACATGTAGTCTTAATTTAAGTGTTTAACGTTTGAGACAAAAAAAAGGAACAACAGTGAAATAATAGCAAAACTTCGTATTTCTGATTGTCATAAGACATTATATTAGCTACTTAAAATTTCCTATTATTAGTCAAACTGAATGTATTTATTAAAATAATAGCTAAAAATGAGCGCAATAATTTTCAACAGTAAACTATACTATTAACGGCGGTATGTAAACACTGTTTTTTAAGTCTAACTTAACGATTGTTTTACTTGTCTTTTATCTTCATTGCTTTTCATCTTAAGCCTCGTTTTAAAAAGTGCAAAGAAAAACAGCACTCCCGAATAACTGTGAAAACCGAGCACTAAGCACAAATACAAGAACAGTTTTTATCTCCTTTTTTGCCTCGTGCTTGCACTTGTTATTGTGTCGCAATTAACACGCATGCTTATAACGAATCCACAACCGCACAAAGATCCACAATGTGGCATCCTCGGTTGTGTGGGAATGTGTTCTTGCCACTTCATACGTTCATGCTTTTGTCTACTCTTGTTTTAAGACAAGACTCCACAGTTTGCGCCTACACTTTTGCCGGTGTCTCTAGTAAAAACCAGCCTTTACACTGTGTTTATCCTTGCATAGTAAACTCCAGTTGATTTAAATTATTTAACCTCATTAACTTGGACTAAAACTGGCACAAAATGCTCATCTTTACCTAGCGAATTGCAAGGGCTGGTAACAAAAACCTTTTAACAATCCAGAACTTTTTAATAAGTCCAAACTTTCGACATTGGTTTTAGAGTTAGCATTTGCTGTCAGTGTGAACGCACCTCTAAATGTTACGGCATCATTTTAATCAAGGAAACATTGATGCCACATTTCTAACTCCCTTATTTGTGATTTCAGCGGAAATCAAAAGTCTTCTCCAAAACAACAACTCGATTCTACATAGCTTCTTAAAACAATCATGGTCAACATCAAGCCTGGTGGAGGAACTCCCTTCTAAAAGGGACGGGGATGCTCGTCGTCTTGCTTAGGGGTTTATATTGTCGTTGGGTTGTAAATTTAGGTCTCACTTAGGGTGTTTGGGACGGACTATATTTGCCCATACAGGTATCGATTAGGGCTGCGCGTAAAGAAATTTGCAACAAAAAAAAAATACCGTGACACTGACCACACAGAAATCTAACGTTTAAAAAAGAATATGAGGAAATTTCAGTAGAAAATTTTAAAATTTCATTAGCCACTTTTTGACATTCCAGTAAGCAACTTTCTAGCATTTCACTGGCACAATTGGGACAGGCCTAGCTACACCCTCATTGTTCTCCATTAGGCGTTTAATTTTAATTTCCCGACGAGAATCCCCCTCACGTTTATATGTGAGTCCCCCGGGACATCAAGACCATTAAGTGAAAAATAAGTAAAACTTAGTTAACAGCGGATTGTAAAATCCTATAGGGAGAACATTTATTCTAGCTTGAACAGTTTATCGCACGGTTTCCTTTTTCTTTTTCCAGCTTCCTTTTTTGAATTCTTGTCTCACTTTGTCATTCAACCGCTGCTTAGCTTTGTGGATTTCCTCTTCGTTTTCTGTGCCGGTTATGAGGCCAATCTCCACCGACCTTGGATCACTCACCACCCTCTGCCATACGACCTCTCTTTTTATGTTGTTACACTTCAACATGTCATAGGTTAGGGAGATCAGATGCCCTGTTTGTTCATCGGTGAACTTCCTCCAAAAACGAGAATTCTCGGTTGAAGTTGACTCTGCTTGCGATGTCGAAGCAACTTCTGATTGGCATTTTGCCAGGTAATTCGTAATCTTGTCTTGAGTTGTTACTTCATGGCAGGGAGGTTCCACATTCTCCATGAACGCGTCTCTTAGGCGGCGAAGCTTCAGAATGACAGCCTTGAAAGAATGAGTTTGGAACAAGCTTGTTTCTTCCAGCTTTTTATTAATATTTTGCTCATCGATGAGCCCCGTTTCGATTTCTTCTTTACAAAGCTTTCTTAGCATCTCAGTCTCATCAGCTGTCCAAAGCGCGGGTGTTTTCATTTCGCCCTTCGTTTCAGGCTCAGATTTTTCTTTCTTTAGCGAAACGAGGTTCTTTACTGCTCGTCGTCCCAAGTCAGTTTCGTTTATTTTGTCGTGGATGCGATAGTAATTTGCCTGCGTTTGTACTTTGTGTTGGGCAAGGGCAGCTAGGTGTTCCTTCTGGTCAGGCAGGTGGACGTGCATCCCAGTGGCAAGGGACTTTCGAATTGTTGTCGCGCAGACCTTTCCCTTGACTTTAACACCTTCTCTTTCAAAGGTTCTCGCGATAGCTGTTGAAACCTGAGACGAAGTCAGGGCAATTCCATTGCTTGAAACAAATACGCACTCTACACTAGAATCTGATAGAACGAACTGACTCCTCACTGTTCTTATGTACATGTCTATGAGGTGATACAGGTCTTCATAAATCCAAACGACGGCCGGCCCATACACTTTAGCTGTCTTGTGATCTTTAACATGTACCCTGAACCGTGCCGGGTCCTCTTCTGTACCCTGGTAGTGAACAGCCTCATTAAATTCGGCAACAGTCATTTTGGCTGCCACCCCACTTCTGCCACTATTATCAATCAGCATTCGTGTCATTAACCAGTCCCTCACTTCACAGTGCGATTTGTCACTGATAGTCCTCATGATAATTTCACCACGATGTGTGTTTTCAGAGGTTGCCGCCAATTGCTTAACAGCGTTCACGCGCTGATTTCCATGGCAAATCTTGTCAAGGCTTTCACTTGAGAGAATTTTCCGATAATCCTCATCGTACTTCTCTAGTTTCCTCTTTAAGATGTTCTTTTTTTGTGCAGATGACCATGACGTCATGAGATCTGTGCGAGCGTTAAGCAAGTCCAGGGATACTTCCGGTATGGACTTTTCCTCTTGGATTAAGAATTTGTAAAACTGGCGCAGACTCATCAAGTAGGACCTAACAGTTCCTGGTCGGTACTTGTTGACCGCATAGGAAAGCCATGACTTCAAAATGTTTGCTCCAACTTTTCCAGGGGTCAAAAGCGAGTAAATCGCAGGGCCGGATTGTTTTTGTTTATCGTCCTGTGTCGAATTCGCTGTGCAGGTGCGAATGACACTTTTCACTTGAGACTTGTATTGCTGTGCTATTTTAACATTACGATAACCTCCATCTACGTCAATCATGTAGTCGTAAAATTCAGTAATTAAGTTGTCAGTGATAGTGTCAAAGCAACCTTGCTGACTTTCGTTTCCCTTTTCAAGATCTGGTTCACCATCACTTGCTTCCCCACTCTTCATCCAAGGCATCATCGTTGTCGCTTTCGTCACTCATTAATATGCTTTCGACTTCATCACCTTCGCTCTCTTCACAGTGCTGAAACCTTCGTCTCAAGTCTTCTGAAGAATCTTCTTCATTCTTAAAACGATAACCTTTAGTTTCTTGAGCAATTATAAACTCTTGAACTTTTTTCTTCCACCGAGGTGACTCAAGTTTATTATCTAGAAATGACTTTCCAGCTACAATTTCCTCCTTTCCGATAACCTCGACCATTTCTATCATCAAATTTTCATAATCAAGAGAATGAATAGAATCTTGAGATTGGTAAGATTCACTCGACTCAGAATCACTTCCCGGAATGTAGTCGCTACCAGATTCACTGTCTGATAAGATGACAATGTCGTTCCGTTGTTCACTTGCATTTTCCCACGCTCGACGTGCAAGATCGTCATATTCTTGATCACTGTCCTTACTAATTGTACCGGCACCTTTATCAACTCGTTCACTGGTCTCACCATCATTTTCGCTTTGACAATCCTCTAGGTAAACGTCATTGCAGTTATCCTCACTTGGCCCAGCAGTTACTTCTAATGGCTTTTGGCTCTCATCTTGTAGTTCTTTATCATCTTCGCTTCCATCATTATTTACTTTAGCTCTACTTGCTTTCACACGTTTTCGGCAATCCTCTTCACCCGATCTCCTATACTCTCCGCTGTCATAATTACTTTCATGCCTTTCATCGTCACTACTCCTCTCTGCTCTCCTCTTGCCCTTCCTCAACTTTCCTCCTTTTTTTTGCTTCTTTAAGTGATCGTCTATGAAGTCTAGAGAGACTCGTGGAGCTTCCTTCAAGGCTTCTCTGTAGCTGGGTGTATCAGGCTTAAGACCATGTAAAGGCGTTTGTAAATGTTTATTGAGCTGGAAAATGGGCGTTTTTTTTGCCTTTGCACGGTGATAACGGGCAGAATTTTACCATCCCCTTGGGCTTCTTCTTCTCCCCTGATAAGTAGTCATGTAATTTGCGTTTAAGTTTCTTCATCCCATGGACGTCTTTTTGATGTCTACTGAGATTAATTACACTCTTACCACATTTAGAACATTTTTTTGGATTTCGTTTCTGTTTTTGGTCTTTACTCGTCTCCGGTAACGTGCTTCCACCGTCCTCCAAGGCATTGCCGTCTTCCGCAACGTCAGTCATTCTTAAAATGAAAAATTACCATTACAGAAATTCACAACTGTAAATAAAGGAAATACCGAATACAGTTGTTATAAGGGTTTTGTTAAAATTGAACTAAGCTTTGGTACAAGCTATTGTTTGCTATTTGAAAATCGACCATGACAGGACGCACAGGTCGTCGACTGCTAGTACCGCAAGTAAGGATGAGGTCTGATACATTGAAAATATACCACAAAATGACGGTAGAAAAACAATAGCTTCAGGTGTCCTGAACGTGACATAATTTGTTTCCATTTTTTTTGTTTAAAAGAAGAGGCAATCAGGTAAATAGAAGAAAACGCAGACTGAATGTGATCCGCAAAAGTCAGTTGAATGTTCTTTGTGGTTATATGCCGGAGCCAGGAAGAGTCTTAAAAAAGTAAACGTCCGGCAGTCAGAAAATTCAAATTTAATCGTTTGAAAATAATCTACCTTCAATTAGAATAACCAAGCGATCGGGAAACTAAACTGTCTTCAGCTGTCTCCGCATCTGAGCGGTTTTGGTTTCCTGGGCATAGAGTAGAGAGAGTAGCAGCGCGTTACTCTCAGGCACCGGCTAAGTACACGGCAATCTTCAAACGATTGGAAAAAATAATTTCGTAAACTTTCTGAATGCCGAGCACTCATTTATTTATTTATTTATTTTTTAACCCCTTACCGACTGCCGGGCATACAGCTACAGCATTAAAAGATTTCAAACGGGACTCTTCAGCAAAAGCCCCGTGCTCCCGTGCAAAGACTCAGTTATTTGACTAGCCTGCGTTGCAGCTGGCCCACGCACTTGTCTAAACCATTTGTATAATCCGTCTGCGAATAAGTGTACAAAAATTGTTCTAACATCCTGCAGAGTCGCAAGAACATATGTGAGCGTTTTTGATAGGCGGGCTTCTTACTGGTTTCTTATGCGCCTCACGATTGGCCTAATTCTTCAGTGTGTGTGACGGTTGAGCGCAGTGAAATGTCAAGATTCACAGAAGGGAGTTGGCTAGGATCGTTTACAGCAAACAATGAAAGAGCAATTGGAACTTTAAAGCCTTCTTCTGGACAAAAAAAAAATGCTTTGAGAGAATTCCTTCGAGGCCAGAATTTGCTTGTAAATTGCCCGGACTGGTTTTCCAGCTTCTTCCTTTTTCGTTATGAAATTCCTTGTATGAATTTGTTTTAGGCCATAGCATGAATATTTTTTAGGATTAATTGGCGTGCATGAATTTTTTTTCATTTAATTTTCCCTTGCGCAATTTTTCTTTTGTACTTCGCCTGCTCCCCCCCATAACTTTTCTAATGGTCTGTCCCTTAGAGCGTCTGCGACGAAGGCAATTATTTGACCAAACATTCAAAGTATGTGTAATTAAATGGTGACAAGTGATACCGTAGAATTCCGATAATAACGGCCCCCGTTATTTTCGGATTTAGCAGGCCAAGGGGGCCGTTACTTTCTGGTAGCCGTTACTTTCGGATGGTTACAAAACGTTTGTAATTCAGCAGGGGTTTTACACAAAGAGGACGCATAACAGACATAAAAAAAGTAATTCAGGTTGCATGCTGGTTACGGTATTCATTATCCATGTAAACAAAATAATAAAACTGTAACAAAAAAGGCCCCGAAATGTTCGTATACTATACGTCGAAAAAATTGTTCGTATTATATGACAACTGTGATGACACATACTGCTTTTATCTGTTTTTACGCGTATTAGTTACTATGTTACCCGTATCCTATGTTTATGAAAATGCAGTACACCACTAAAATAGGAAAACATTGTGTGGCATTTGTTGTAAATTAAATAGGAAAATATGATTCAACCCACTACCTACTTGTATTTGTCACCACATACCGCACCTCTTGAAATGTTACATTAACGGTTCAAAAATTATATATATATTTTTGAGAGGTCATTTTTTCAGCGGCTGCTATTATCAGGGAGGGGGGGACGTTACTCTCGGGGTTTCATAGCAAGGTAAAAATTAACGTTACTTTCGGGTAGCCGTTATTTTCGGGGACCCGTTATTATCGGAATTCTACGGTATCAGGTGATAATTTAACGCGCTTTTATGTCCAAATCCTTATCAAGCCAAAATTAAGAAGTAATTCATCAGCTATACTGTGACATCGAGTAAATTCATGATGAAAAATATATTTTTCATAGGTGAGATTGCCAGAGACGAGAAAATCGTCAGAATAGAAAAAATTTGGTAAGCTGTTTGAATAGGTGTAATGCGTATTTGGTTATTGCGAAAAAAAGCAATCAGAATATATTTGATATAAAGGAGAAATACTTTATGCCGTACAAAATTCGAAAACAGAAATGTAGGCACCCTACATGACAGTAAATTGCAAAATTCCAGTTCGCAGTTTGTATACTGTTAACTCTTATAGACCCAATGAATCCGTGAACGTTTGCTAGGAACGGACGATTGATTTATTAACTAACAAAATGATTCAATTTTTCCGTTGAATGTTCCATTTGTAGCTGCTTTTCATGAGTTAAACAGACGCACATTCTATACAAATGGCTTTTAAGTGGTCATTTCAATTGAATCAAGTTGGCTGGCATCAAATATTTTTTGCTCGAAACTGTTGTAAAGCTTTAAAGCTTATATCTGAACATTGACAAGGTGAGTACCAATTAAAAAAAAAAACAACAACAACATGCCGTATAACTGATTAAGCGTTCCATGGGAGGCCTACACCACAGTCTATATAACTAACTCAGACATTCAAAAATAAAATCATCGTCAGCCATGAAATCTTTTACGGAAACTTTAAAGAGACATCTTAGTTTGACTTGAAAATCAGTGTTTGTTTTGTTGAAAATCGTAGTTTATTTCCAGACATGTGAATTTGTTTTCGAAAACCGGAGTTTGTTTTTGTAAATTGGAGTTTGTTTTCAACAATCGGAGTTTGAAACTGATCGGAGTTTGTTTTCGAAAATTGGAGTTTTGTTTTGGAAAATCGGAGTATGAAAATCGGAATTTGTTTTCAAAAATCGGAGTTTGTTTTCACAAATCGGAGTTTGAAATTCGGATTCTGTTTTTGAAAATCGAAGTTTGCTTTCGAAAGCAAACTCCGATTTTTAAACTTCGATTATTGAAAACAAACTTCGATTTTCAAACTCCGATTTTTGAAAACAAACTCCGATTTTCAAACTCCAGTGTTCGAAAACAAACTCCGATTTTCAAACTCCAGTGTTCGAAAACAAACTCAGATTTTCAAGTTCCGATTTTCGAAAACAAACTCCGATTTTCAAGAAAAAAAAACACCGATTTTCAAGTGAAACTCATGTGTGCCTTTAAAGCTTCCGTAGAATAAAACAAGATGTAGTTTGAATTATCTACTCATTGATGAATTAAATCGGATTGTACGGTAAAATAAACATTTTTTTTATCCTCACCTGCTCAGTTCTCCAACTACTTTCGCATCACTGTAGTGCACAATCGTACACGTGGGGAGCCATACACAGGGCAGCCATGTTAAAGACTACTACGCATGGTTTTAAAGGAAAGATCGCTAGCCAAACAAATCGATGAAAGGTTTGGACTTTGGGGCTGGGTGGGTGGGGTTCGTCTGACCAGGTGACTGGTTGTTTCTTATCAGACTCTAGCCAATATTTCAGAGAATGTAATGTAATATAATAAATTAGCAACTGAGTTTGCCATCTGTTGGCGTAGCTTTTTAAAGTTGATAGCTTCTAAAGAAGCCGTTATTTTTCCCCTTTAAGAATCAACTTAGTTTCAGACAATTATTTATTCCTCGTTAAGTTCTGCTATAACTATATAATATTTTACACGGGTTGCATATTTAAAACAGCTCTCAAAACATGAAAATTTCATCAAGCGTTGTTTCCACACAAACCAAGAGAAATCTCTATGCTGAACCATGTTTTGTCCCTACGTAAGCCTCGAACTATCTACGTACTTTAAAATTATAGTTTGCAACGGTAGCTATTAATATGAAGTCGCATAGCAGTACTGAAGTACCTCTTATTTGCTGCAAAGTCCTTTGTTTTGAAGCTAAAACCAACCGTACGTATTTGCTACCGTAGCAAATACTCACTTATGTAGCAAATACCTACCAGTAAGTATTTGCTACCGTAGCAAATACCTACCCGGAGTAGCAAATACCCACCCTCCGTATTTGCTACGGTAGCAAATACTCACTAAGGTAGCAAATACCTACCAGTGAGTATTTGCTACCGTAGCAAATACCCATCCATCGTAGCAAATACCCACTTGAATCTGCCTCTCTCTCTCTCTCTCTCTCTCTCTCTCTCTCTCTCTCTCTCCCCTCCACTGTCCCCTCCCCTGTCTCCCCTTTCCCCTCCCCGCTCCTCAGCCAGTAGCAAAGTCTTGGTAACCACGCTTCGCGTTTCTCGAGAACTGCCAGACGTGCATGCAAAATATGAAATATTGAAATGAGTTCTGCGAGGAATTCGAACTGTTAGACCATGCGTTTTCCATCTCGATCAGCCTTAGACGATGTCTTGAAATATGATGGAGCCTACTGGCTCGGAAAAAGCTAGCAGCATTGTATTTCAGTTGCATCTGGAGGGAAGTGAAACTTCGCAGATGAGCCAGAGAAATTCAAGTAAGCCCATCTGCGTGTTCTGGCCTGCCTGTAGTGTCACACTTCGAAACTAAACTGTTGTTGGCATTGTTTTGGTTGTACATGTTCCTACCGAAAATGCTTTCCATTGTATTGTTTCAGTGGCAACAGCAAATGAATCGCGGAACGGCGAGGGAGAAGTACTCACCGAAATACAGTTTTCGCGCCTTGAAGCACTCGACCCACAGAAACGTGAACTTCTAGAGGCGAGATTTCACACTCCTCGGGTGCGTTAAAATAAATTAACCTTAAATGTTTCATGGTGGATATTTGCCTCGTGGTTTTAAAATTAGGTATTTCATAGCTGCTTTTCTCTGATCATAAATGGACGCCATTTTGTTTGCCTTTAGTCATTGATTTATCATATCCTGGCATGGTGGTTATAAGCTTCAGTAATAGGCTTTAAATTGTTATTAGAATCGCATAATTAAGTAAAATCTCGCATTCTGATTGGTTAACGAAGCGAGGTATGTAGTGTGGAATTGCGAGTTGAAAACGAGGCTAAGCGATATTGTTTCGCATCTACGTAACAACTATCGTCAAATTCTAACACAACAACATGCAAAAAAGGTTTTCTACAATGTCATTTTAAAATGTTTTCAAAACCATTCATTGTCACTTTTTGAAGAGTTAAAAACAAACAAAAGCGTTTTTTAAAGTGAGCCGGAGGTTCTTCCTTGTTTTGAACTGAACTACAGATTCTCGAAGAGACATAAAACCTCTTTCACTCGCGACAACCAGAAAACAAGAAAATCCAGTGAACACGGCCCAGAAAATGGCAATCCAAAGTTCAACTAAACAAAACGGGAAGCGAGAAACGGAGGAAGTGCCGGGTCGATTGTCCCATATACAGAAGAAGAAATAAATACCTTCAAAGAGGACATGGCCCCTGAAAACACGAAAAAGAGTACGCCGCTTGCAATCGTCCTGAATCGTGGTACTTAGAAAAGTACAAAACAGAGCTGAACTTGAACAGCATTTCTAAAACATTTCAAGGTACTTACCTTATGTCAATCGCGACGTTAAACATGTTAAACTTTCAGTGCTTTCGCTTGGACACTTGATTTCTTTCAGTTTTGCCGCCGAAGAGGTAAAAGGTGCAAATTATTTTCCTTCTCGAGCAAATGACCAATTTGAAAAAGACGTTCTACATAAACGGCTTCTAAATTCAGTAAAATACCTCTATTTATCCTTACGATTAGTGTGAAGCTTGTTTACATGTAAAAAGTTTGAAAACAAATGTGAAAACAAGCACAAGGTACAAAAAAGGTTATTGAAGGTTCAAGCGTGTACGACTGACCTTGCTTCCTATTCGCTAACGCAATGACAGTTCTGACAGTTGACTTTGAAATGGCTTTCTGGAGCGCCACGCTCAGGATAAAAAAACAAACAATAGATATTATTGCTGTTTTCTTTTTTTTCTTCTGATTTTTATTCAATTATGCGATTCAAGGAAAATTCATTACCTGACTCGAGAATTCCACGTTAAATTGCACTTGAAAACCGATATCGCACTCATCGCTTCGCGATTCGTGCGATATCGGTTTTCGCGTGCAATTTAACGTGGAATTCCCTCGTCAGGTAATGAATTTTCCTATAGTATTTCTTGCAATTGATGTAATGTATATTAATTTTAGGGGAGTGCCTGGTAGCTTATAAGGTAACCAGATTGGGAGGTGTGATGGGTGGGGAGGGTAGCCTGACAGCTCAAAGAGATGTCAGCAGCAAAAAAAAAAAACAAAGCGAGGGTGGGGTAGGGGTGAGAGCAAAGGAACGCCTGTAAGACTTTTTAACAAAAGCTTCTTCCGTTATACCAGATTCTGGTATACCCTATGATTGATCTATTTTGACAGCTCTTGTCACCACAAAGAGGTTCATTACTATACGTTGATTGGACATGTGATGCTCTAGCAATGAGGTTACACATCAGGTTATCTTGGAAGCGTGGTGAAGTGATTCGAAATAAGCAACATGGATAATGTGGAATATCAGTTGAAGAACAGTTGAAATTGTTCTGAGGCTGGATCTCGTCAAGAGAAAGCTGGACTTCCAAATTTTACCATTTCTATTGGCTTTTAAACAAGCTCTTTCCTTTCAGATCTCTTCAGGAATATTAAATACGCGCATGAACCATCTTTCGATATGGTCTTTGTTTAGCGTGCAAATACAGCCATTTCACTTTGGTCTTGTTCCTCTCCACTGGGGATGTTTTGTTTGAAAACAGGCATATTTTTTTAAAATTCAGTAAACAGTGCAGTATGTCACTCGTTGCTTGATTGACAACTTTTAATTCTGGAAGCTACATTCAGATTATTAGCTGACAAAGTGGGTGGAATGACCTTTTGAAAAGAAATCTCACAGGCATTCCCAGGCTCATCTCTCCCTTTCCTCCTTCTTTTCCTCCTAGTTATTTTTTTCTTGCTCTCTTCCATTGCACTGCACTCCACTGTCCAAACGGGGGTACCCAATACTGCAATACCATAAGAAAAATTGGCAAATACAGAAATACGATGCAGAAAATCGGCAAAGTACCGATACCACATTATGATCAGTCACCTCATGTGTCTAGTTATTGCAAGCATGGTAAGCAACAGTAATTAACCCCAGCCCTTGCGAGAAAACGTGTGAAGACCTTGTATTGATTGGTACAAGTATCTAAAAGCCTGATCATTGGATGGTCTTGGATGCCTTGCCAATTTCACCATGGATTAATGG